TCAGGTAGAACAAGAAGTAATTTCAGAAAACTGTATGCTCGCACATCTAAGTATAAAAATTCTATGGTACCATACTTGGCACGAATTTTATGTGATGAAAATAGCGTCAGGCAAGAATTGACTAACCTTTTTTCACCTAGTAAATAAACAATCTCCTCCATCCATCTTTATATACCTTCAAGTTCTACTTTTATTATTTCTATTATATTTATGGTCCTGTTGATTCTTTGTTTTCACTTTCATAACTGCAAACACCAACTTATCTCTATGACTGCTGTAATCTTTGTTTTTTTCCCTCACCATATGATGTAAACAGAACATCATATTCAATATTTTTAATCATGCAAGGATTTGTATACCGCATCGACAATACTGTGTGAAACAAGCCCACGGCAATTTCCACTTGTATTATTATCATTACCTTAGCTGCTATCATTATTATTATTTCCATTTTATATGCTGCATGTTTTTTATTTTTAATTTTTTTATATTAACCCTATTGTAAATGTAGAAAAATTTTCTATGTGATTAATTTTATTTATAATTTGAGGAAATTAGATGCAATATTGTGATTAATGCTGAAAATTCCATTCTGTATCACAAGTACTGTTTTTGGAATAAAGTAAATTATTATTATTATTGCTTTTTACATATTCTAACAACTTTTAAACTATTGTGAAGTTGTATTCTTCCTTCTGTACTTATCTGCTGGTATTTTATATAATGCTACAAATCACACGATATCATCATATAAACTATGTGACCTTTCATTTGTTTTGCCATACCTCTAGGCCATGCTAATGTATATACATATATAAACATTTAGATTTATTGACTTGTTTACATATTCTGCATTCTTTTCTTTTGTTGGAACCTCGCTAAATATTGATTATCCATACTTTCATTTCAGTTTTCATTGAATATTACTGTAAAACACTGTGAGACTTTACCAATTAAAATAAACTTAATCCATGATGGAAGAGTTACTCTTTTCATTTAAGTCACTTTCAAGTTATATATTCATGTATATGAATATATATAAATTATATTGTCATAAAAACGAAATGAATGTTTCTATATTATGAGTCGATAAAACTGTGGATTCTTGAATTTACCTACTGAAAACAGGAGGTAATAATCGGGTCGGAGCTTAAATGAAATCAAATAAGTAAAGTGAGTGGACGATTTATCGCAATTGACAGGATTGAGTAGAGTTCAACTCAAATTGAAGGAGGGTCATGTTAAGATCAGTGTCTTTAGGAGGTGAGATGCAATATTAGGAAAGGAGACACGATAATAAGAACTGAAAGTAAATTACATGCCAAATGTTGATGCAGTTTCAATTACTGGTTAATAACCTTTTGTCAACATAGTTTAGAATTTAACGTTTGAATTGCCATGGATCGCGTAGTTTTGAATAGCTTGATTCGCACTCCATTGGTAAGACTTGCTTTTACACATCATTTTCCCGTCAATATCAGATAAATTAAACGAAATACTTGTCAGGTTGTCAATCAGCTCGAAACTGATTCCTGCATTCAAACGGAAGTAAAAGAACTTTGCGGATTCTCCCCCAACCTTTTGTTTCATTTCTCAATGTCATATTTTATTAAATATTGATTATTTTGCTATCCGATATTTGGTTCTATTACTGTTTAGCTACAATTATGAAGGTTTAATCCACCATACCTTGCAAGTATTTTCTTCTCATGTTGAATTTGCAGTACAACTTATTTGATTATACAGATAGCAAGATACTGATAAGGTGTCAGTAAAAACAAAAACGGATCTAATGCATCTTACCACAAATTTCATTATTTTACTTTTTACATCGAGAGAGTGAAACTTATAAAAGTTCTAATGAAACATATCAGTTATCAAGAAAGGTAGTAGTCTGGTGGGTCAATAGATTTCATTTGCAATCACATTGAATTTTCTAGTGCATTTATGTTCCTATAGGTAATTATTGAGGACAGCTTTCATAATAACAAAACGGAAGTCACTGGATGCTAATTAACTACGATTTATTTCCAATCTCCGCCTGACCAAATTAGCGCTCGCTGTTGGATGACATAAACAAATACGCCTGATGATATTACATGGTGGGAGGCAATCCGCAGGAAGCCTTCAACCTTGGTTTCGTGCTAGTTGCCACTCACCAGTCAACAAGGCGTATCTGCAACCTTGTAGGAACCCATGTCCCCGCTAACATTCAAATCCACGTCACCCACTGACCAGTGTTTTACAGGTAGCGACTCAAAGCGGCGGACGAATAGAAGATGTAGCAACAAGAACTTACTCAGATTGTGAATATGCTTGTAAAATTCAATCTTTCGGTCAATGACAGGTGAAACAATAATTATTCATCACAATGTCTTTTATTAAGCTCAGGCACACCTAATGCAAGAGAGAACAGATGGACTCTTCGCTACCGATTGCTGAATTTGCAGCGAATTATTCATGCTGAAATAGGTGTGATTCATTTCAAATCCTCTGACGCATTGTCCATTTCATGTACATCATCAAACTGATGCAGTGAAATCTTTCGATGCACAAGACCATGAAGAATGAGGCAAGGAAAGTTCAGTAGCAAATAGGCTTCTAAAACAAATACATAATGTAAGAAATCAAACTAGGCAACCTCTAGTAATTGGCTGTATACTAAGTAGCCTTATAATTAAAATATTATCCTGAATTCCACGATTGTTTCCCATACTGTATCATTTTCAGTCAGTATTTCCTACTTGAGTATATCAGCGTATTTCAACTGTCTTATTTTTCCGCCTATTTCATCTCCAACCCTTCTTAAGTAATCCATTTTGATTAATCACTTATTTCCCAGAACCAGGTTCACGAAACCGAGACAAACCACCTAATTCCACCTCTTCCATGTTGTCAAATGTCCAGATCCCAAAAGATTCTGAACCTATAACCGATTCCAAAAGAATAATTGATGCCTCAGAATACAATATATGTGGTAATCGTCACAAAAATATCAAAAAAAACTGATTGACATTACCACGACTGCTTAGTTCTTCACTAAGAACGAACCACAACAACAGGGTTACAAAGCACAGAGTTTCTTATCGTTTTTCTCCAGTATTCGCTCAACCGACATACGACTAGACGAAGGCCGTCATTCTTCTTTCTCGCCAAATGGAGATCAGTTCTAATACACAAACCACGTGTTGTTAATTCAATGTTCACCAACATTGACACATGTGTATTTATCAGTTTGACTGACGTATGATTACTGAAGTTCATCATCGAATCACTAAACACTTCGCGTCTTGGTTAGGCAAAGGACAGAATGAAGACATACACAGTTAGTACTGGCTTATGTCATCGATACTGCGAATCAGACTGGTGATGACAAAGCCTTGGATGTGACTCATTGTACTTCATTCAACCTTTCGCATGCTGTACGAGTAGGACTTTAACATACAACGGAAGCATTCGCAGTTCATCTGAACGATCCAAATCTGCCTTCTCAAAATCAATTTGGTCAACCCCATTTCCCGACTTGGCCATCTACATAAAATATTTACATACATGTATTTCAGTTGTCATTCACTTGGTTACCTTATTATGATTACTATTCCAACTAACTCAGTCAACTGATTGTTGTCTTTGTGTTCCTACGTAATGCATTTTTGTCTCTCCATCTTAAACATCATTATTTTAAGAATTGTCGATTGTGTACTAACTTACTGCTAACCGCTACAAATTATTTCATTTTGATTACCGTCGTTATTTCAACCCCTCTCATTCTCGAAAATTCTCAGTTCTTCTTGGCTAACAATCTCTTGCAGACTTCTGTCAATTAACTGCTTTGATGACTTAAAATCCGTTATTTTCACCCCACGTAAATGGTGGTTCCAAATTATTTCCCTTATGTTCTCCAAAATCACGCCTTATTTGACCAGTTCTTCAATGTGATTTCCATAAATATTTCTACCCTACAATTGTCACATCACTTTCTGTTCCATTTTTCTTGAGTGTAATTGTTACCTTCTTTTCACACCTACTTAGTCACGTCATCATTCATCAACTTTAGACAGCTCCTCTTAAACAACAAGTTCTTTTATTAGAGAATCTTATTAAGAAGATTTACTGTAGTACTTACTGTCTGTCATTCTTAGGAGTCCTTCTTACTTCTACTGGTTTATATACTATTCTACTCAGGCTTCAGCAAATACACAGATCAATGCAACATGATGATTGAAGTGAGTTTACAGGAAGCAGTGCACTTATTTCTCATAGTAACTTGAAACTGTCGGTTAGATATGACTGAAACACCGTAGGTAGTGATGACCATTCAGAATCGATTACATTGTACAATTAACACTGATATGATTTTGTGAGCAGGAAATTCTGTCAGCACAGATATGTACTCGGTGTTAGGCAATCATGCAAGAGGTCAGAAACTCAGTGATAATGTCTGAAACTGTGACGATGGATGGCGTGGGTTTGGATATCTGATGACACTCCAGCCCTGTTTTAGCTGTAGATAAATCTTGGTGAACAGTGCCAGTTAACATGAGACATCATTCAAAAAGCATTCTGCTGTTTACTTAAAACTGTACCGCACCGTTAAATCTCCTAACACTCTAATACTGGTCACTTTGTATTGATCAGTCAATGAAAGGGTGACCCTGTGTTGTGAGTTTTTGCTGACTAGTATTAAAACGCATTCGGTATTCAAAAGAAAATTGAATCTGTGCACGTATTAGTAGTACATCTATGGTGTTTAGTGAAATTAGTAGAATTTTAAATGAGACTAGCTAGTGTATTTATTTATGTATTTTGTTTAGCTCACAATATTTTGAAAACATTCAATTATGTCAAATGGTCAGCTTGTTAGTTGGTTAGTCAGTTAGTCAGTCAGTCAGTTAGTTAGTTAGTTTGTGCATTAAGCAATCAATTATTTGCTATCATGGTTATTATCAAATCACATTTCAGTATTCTTCTTTGAAATATTTTACTCAATACGGAGCGTTCAACACGTAGATGAGTACGATTTCGTCGCCACAAAGCATAAAGATCACATTAATTATTCTCAGCTAGACATGAAATTCAATTTTATCACTCATTATTCATTTGAATTATTGTTGATACGTACTTGTGTAATTCTTTACTGATTAATGGAAAAGGATGTATTTACATAAACTTCAAACAATCATCTTGCGAATGGAGAGATTCCTAACTAAATTCAATCATCACAGTCTACTGAGAGATGCAATCCGAGGGATTTATTTACTCACATTCTTATTCATATTATATCGCTTATTTTCTTCGACAAATGATTTCGGATATAATAAGCAGCACCAATTATCAATTGAACGCTACGGTGAACTCAAAAGTGTATGCGAATATTTCTTCAGAAACCCTGTGAAAAATTCTAGTCGAGGAGTTATTGAAAGTGTTCAGGGGAAATGGGACGTGAAGCATTCAAATTTATCCAATACCGATGTTTGTCGTGAATTCAAGTTATTTCAAGGACATGTAGTTGAATCATCGATGGAGGAGAAATCTTTCCCGCTAGCCTTCAGTATAGCTGTACACGATTACATCAAACAGTTATCTCGATTACTCCGATTGATATACAGACAACACAATCTGTACTGCATTCACGTTGACTCTAAGTCGCCACAATCATTCTATAATGAAGTGTTGGCACTAGCCAATTGTTTTGGTCCAAATGTAATGGTAGTGAATCGATCGGAAAGTATTGACGTCCAATGGGGTCATTACTCCATCCTCGAAGTGTTTCTTCTCTGTGCAGACAAATTGATGAAGAAGACTGAATACAAGTGGCAATACATTTTGAATGTGAGTGGACAGGAATTGCCACTGAGAACCAACTGGGAGTTGGTAACAGCTTTGAAGGCAATCAATGGGTCGAATGTTGTTGAAGGTCTAGGTCCATGGTATAATCCATCTCGATGGCCCGCGAAGAATTTCACATTCCCGGTAAGATGTTGTCATATGTTACATCTCATTTGCTTTCTGGATGACCAACACTCGAAAAACGTCTCTTGATCTTTCGTGTCTCTCCGTTTTCTCCATTAATCTCAACAGAAATAGAAACCGGTCATTCAAATGAGAGGTGTGTTCAGTAGTGTATTATAAGTGAATAAGTGGTCTACTTTTCAGGCATCTGAAATTATTCAGCCTTTATGAAAAGTTATTTAAAATGTGAAGATAAGGGTGAACTGAAAACTGTTGCTACCAAGCGTGTAAGTTCAGCGGTGATACCTTGACTCAAAGAAACATCGGATTATATTAACAGAATCCTCGACAATCATAAAATAAGAGTGTATTTTGGTGCAACTAACACATTACGGTCGTCACTGATAAAGATTCAGGATAAAACAGAAAAAGAAAAACGACAGAATTGTGTGCACTAGACGCCGTGTATGTGGGAGAAACTTCCAGACAGGTACATATAAGAGTGAAAGAGCATAAGCAATGTCTTGATTAATACATAAAAATGGATATGCATCACTAGTTAATCATACTTTGTCCTAATTCCAGATTGTCAACATCTTATTATGAAGAGGTTAACAAATGAAGTACAACTGTTCATCCATACATACATAATATTATATACTGCATATACACATTCATTTTCATTTTCAGTTATCTACGACAATGAACGTTTACTCTGATAAAAATCACCTTCTGCTTAATGTGTTAATGACTTCATGCCCTAATTCCATTATGGGTTAAATTTATTTTGATAAAGTCTCACAGTGTTATACAGTAATATTTACTGATGATGTTTCGAGCACAATTTGTCGCTCATAATCCTATCAAGATACTCAAACAACTTTCTAACTTCGTGGGATTAAAAGTATTGAGAGCAATATTTTCCCAGCTGTTCATTAGAAAGGTCAGAAAAGGTCGAAAGCGAAATCAAAATAATTGTGAAACTAGTAGTGGTAACATAAATAAGAGAGAATATAAGGCATCTACTGTTATACCATGTAAGGAGGTGACATCTGAGACCCTTCGTAGGATTCCTAATAAAACGGGAACTAGATTGGTATATAAACCTTCAAACGCACTCTGTAGGTTAAACGACCCAGTTGACCCAATTAGACAAAATAATATAATTTGCAAAATACCCTGCAATGACTGTGAGTTAAGTCAACCACATAAGTCAAACTAGTAGGTTGGTGGTAGTCAGATTGTCGGAACATAAGAAATTAGCCAAGATAAGGATGGTTGACCCTGAGAAGATAAGTAATTTAGACAAAAGCTCAGCGACAGCACTGCATGCTTTAACACACAACCACACAATAGGATGGGAGAGAGTTAAAATTCTAAAAAGTAATCTAGGTAGGTGGAGAGAGAGGTTGATTACTGAATCCTTGTTCATCGAGTCTAAACCAAACACGTGCAATAGGACTGACTCATCACTGATACCGGAAATATGGAAAATACTACTACCAATCAAATCAAGCGATGGAAAATAATGGAATTATATAAACGCAGTTAGAAAGTTGTGTGATTACCTTGATTTGATTGTGAGCGATAAATTGAGCTCGAAACATCATCAGTGAATATTGCTTTACAACTTTATCAAAATAACTCTCACATATAGTGAAATTGTACTCTTACATAATGCATGAGTTTTATTCTTCGTGCCTTAACCTTCCTTCTCTGCCGAGGTCAACACCGACTTGGCTAGTATTGGGGATAGGTCGACAGCGAATGGAACATAAACGATGTGTGTAGCTGGCGAGAATTCTTCTTCTGAACCACCTTTACACCTACGCTCGAAAGCTTTTCATTTAAACCCATTCGGTGTAAATATGTTTGTTTGAAAACGTCTTCTTTCACTTCATTATTTTAAAGTCTGTATTTTCTCTAACGTCTTATCCCTATTTCATGTGTTAACATGAGTCCCAACAAAATTGATGGGTTCGAAAAAGCTGTTTCTGATAAATAATGACATTGACCAAAAGCCATTGAAACTAATTATCAATTCATAGTTCTTTGTTTACCCATTGAAGTGTATGTGTGTTCTCATTTCACTTCGTTCTCTCTTGTTAACCTATGACTTTCTGGTCACCCAGAAGGTAATGAACTTCCACGGTGTAGGCAGCTGAGAAGTGATAAACGCTCACACATTTCTATATAGCATATCTTCTTACCTTGACAAACATGAATTCGATATAGTGCGGGGCAACAAAAAGTAGAATGGAAATCTTGTTGATGGTGGGTGAAGAACCAGTTCGACGCTCTATCATCTGAACTACCAGACAGGAGGATAGCCTGCAAAGCCTTGTGATTTGAATCCTGATGGAATGTAGTGTTCCGCTTTCTCATTGATTCGAGTGACATGGTATAGAAAGCTTTGTTTCAAACAACTAATGGTACTGTTTCACTTTACGATGGAATTTAGTAAGAATGAATGTACACACACACACGCAATAAAAGGTTTCTACAATTTCTCTTTCTGATTACTCACAGATCATCTGGAGCAAAGGCAGTTTCTATATGGCATTGAAACGAGAATTTGTACACTTCTATCAAACTGACCCAAAAGCGAATGAAATACTCGATGCTATGAAAGCAGAAAGACACTTGCAGAAGCATCCGGATGAATTGTTTTTCCCAACGCTAACTCACGATCCATCACTCGGTGCACCAGCTGCTTGCTACGAAATTCATGAAACTAATTACTCAGATAGACGAAAACGATTCATCGCACGTTATGTGAAATGGTCTTCTAATGGCTGTAAGAGTTCCAGAGTTCGTCGAGGTGTATGCATTTTAGGCGCAGGTGATCTCCCGGACATACCATCACGACCGGAATTTTTCGCCAACAAATTTCATGATGATTTCGAGCCTATTACCTATGACTGTACAGAGTATTATGTTATGGAGAAAGTTATACAAGAGATGAAAAGCAATCGGTTGGATGCAAACTTTGATGTCACTGTCTATTCTGACTTACACTGTTCTAGAAATCATACTTAGTTTCGATAAAGTAGTATTTTACTCTTTCGCGCAAGATTCCTACCGATTGACATATGTTGGTAAGAGAATGTATTTCTCTCTTTTTTACCATTTTTTATGAATATTTTGAAATTTCCTACTCCATCTGCTTTCAAAAGCCTCCAAACATCCCCAGAAGTCGATTCAGAATTCTATGAGAATTAAAACTTCATACACTGTAAATAAATTGCACAGAGTACTTCACTGCACTGAAGTTTATTGTTTGGTTATTTTATGATTTGGAATATCATTGGTTCCCTTGTTACTCCTTGCTGTCCACTAACCCTATCTCCGTATTGATGCATAGTAATGGTGAGGCATAACAGTTCTACTCGTCACTTGTTACATCACTTCTCTGCATGGTGTATGAATATGCTTCGTCTTCATTTATAACTGACTTCAGTTTCAGACTGACAGGTACATTAGTGTTTCTCACTTCACTTCATAAATGTAATTGTACTTAGAATGCAACAGATTTCTCATACAATAATTATATTTAATTTCCACAGTCTTTATTAGCTCATGTTAATTCGTGTTTCCGTTGATTGATCATATTGTGCCCAAATGATCAGTCTGTGTTGATGCACTGCCTGCTGGTACAGATGATTCAACGATGCATGGAGATCAGTAAGAAGAAATGGGTATCTTGGATTCCTCTACAAGTCACTGTCAACCGAGTAATATATCGAGGCTGTATTTCTCGAGTACACACCTGATATAAACACCTGTATAAGCGACGTGATATCTACTTCAGAGACAAGCAATATTTTACTGTCAGTGAAGTCAATTAGTGAAATGCAGGTGATTCAAAGAAAATGAGACAATCAGTGAATCGTAAACACAGTCATTTATGTGATAGTGAAGATACACCTAGGTCAATTTATTCATAAATTACCCTCACCTGCACATGAATGGGGAAAAGCAAATCAAGCGAAGACCTAATTCCTTCTAGTTATATTTATGCATAACTGTTTTCTTCCACAAAAATACTGTAGCAAAAGAAGACATGGATGGTCGTGTGCATAGTTTCTAATATTAATCAACATGTAAGAGAAGTTGAATAAAGGCAACATGGCCGTGTAATGAGACTAATTATGTGATATATTAATTGCAACCAGAATGCGAATAGAAAGGAAGGAAATTTTTACTACTTAGGGGTTTGTAAGAATAAAAGACTGAGAATGAGCTAAAAACCAAATCAGATTTTTTGAAAATAACAGAGTCATTGCCATGGCAGTACACGTGGCTAGAGAATGTGAGCATGCCTGCAGCACCAACATCTTTCTAACTGTGTGGCTAGTGTGCAAACAACGCAAAAGAGACAAACGTGTATAGTCTCTGGTAGGAGTTTCTGAACCACAGTGGTCATTGTCAAAGAGTTGCTCACATTTATTACACCTCTTGAGCAGGTATTGCCACCTTTCTACAATCTTTCAGAAAACTGTTTTAAACTCCCTCTCAGACAGAATCTGAGTTGATCAACCAATGTATCTGACCCCACAGAAGCAAACAATCTGATAAATGCCTGAAACATTGGCACAGGCAAAATCTTGTCTTTCAGGATTCTGCAGACCAGTGGGAAGCTGTCGAACAATACACTGAGTGTTACTGCGAAGAACGTTCTTCTCGAATGCGTTGGACGCAATTCACAATGCAGATAAATAAAAGTCATCTCCACCCAAATGACATCCAGGTGTTGGAACGTTTCAGTTGTATGTTTCGTGTAGGTTTCAAATAGATGAACCTTCTAGAAATATCATCGGCTCTTCTTATTAGATCAAAATCACGAAGGAGAATTTTAGATTAATAATTCATCTCAAGAAGGGATTTCCGCACCGAAAAGAAGTTCATAGACACCTGTGACGATTGACTATAATCAAATTCTCTACCACACATAATCACGATGTCGCTCACGCACCCTGGTGGCAGTTGGAAATAACAAATATCTGACTCAAATAGACAAATATTCAGACTTGTCAGAAAACACACTTCCAGCATTGAAACCAAGGAAGATACACTTGTGATTATATCTTTTTGTCTGTAGTGTTACGGAATGTGAATGGTACATCAACGGTACAAATCAGTTATAGTTTCTTCACATATACCGTCAGTATTGCCAAGTTCAACTCGTTGTCATCTGTGCATCTGCATATATACCAACGGCTTCCGTAGGTGCAGCGTTGGTGTAGAGTGATTCGATGTCGACAGATAGTATAACTTAATCAAAGGTACTCATATACTGCATGCAGTCGTCAACATGTGAATGTCGTGAAGCAACCACATGCAAATATGTTTTCTTACAGGTCCTTAAATATCTACCGGCGATCTTCCATACGAATGATAGAAGATCCAGACACCTCTTGAATGGAAACGACCTTGATACTAGACTTGTGTATCTTTTGTATACAAAGAAGACTTGCTATTACTGAGTTAGTTCATCGGTCGAACGCATTCAGAAATGCTGTTCTTAGTTAAATGTTCGGCATTCTTCTTTCTATGACACACGTAAGCCGTTTTCAAATCCCTCCCATATTGTCTTCTTTGTTAGGCGGTTTTCAATGCTGAGAATTAGGGTACTCCAACATCACCCAGAATACTATTCATTGTCACAGGTTGTTTTCATCAGAGAAATGAATCCACACACTGACTGCCATGTGAAGATTATGAGGTCAAACACATCGGTCAAACAAGTCTCTTGTGGTCACTTTATTCGTTAAGAAATAGAAGTTAAGCAAAAATCAGTAATCAAGACCCAGATGAGACAAACGATTGTGTTAAGCACTGACTACTAGGACCAGTCAATTAGGTCACTCACCAAGACGAAATTATGCGAACACCAGATGACCAATTCACACCGTTGACGCCAGAGTCACCAGCGATTCACATTATCTTACTCTCCAGTCATATGAGCATTTCTCACCAATTACTGCTGGAGAACACTGATCGATTAACTCAGTACTTCACCGAATCAAACATTAAATCATGTCGCCCAATCAATTCGAGTCTTGCATTTTAACATCTTCGACAATATTGTGTTTCCTACTTGCAATGAAAGTTAACTGATGACGACACGTGTTCCACTCTGACACTGTGCATGTTATACCCTGTGTGACGTTCAGTGTGTAGGTGGATTCAGATACACATCAGTGACCCTGTTGAGAACAGACAGTCTCAATTTCAATGATTGTCGTATAGATTTATCGAATAAAATTGAGAATGATGCTGAGAATCGATTGATTCGGATTCAGATCATCAGCATATATTTATCAATACATGAATGTATGTATGTGTGTGTATGTGTGTAGTGAAGTCTGAATTTGATTTTGTCACAAATCAGAGGTAGCACTGCACAGATGTCAGCATGAGTTGGAAAGTGAATGACTGAGAATAGTGTCATGTTTTCAAAATAAACACAATCGTTTCAACCTTATTACTTGTGTATTGATCAATTCGAACTCCAATTATTATTATATAAACCACAAGTCTTCATTCAGACAGAAAGTATAAAGTATGCTTCGTGACTATTTTGTAAAAGAGCAACAGTTTGAGCACAATGTGCGAAGAAGCCAGAAGAAGTAAACAAATGTTAGCAGGAAGCTTGTTTTCAAGTCGAATACGGACACGAGGGTCCAGATCATGAGGATTCATAGAATGAAAATGATCATTTAAAGTTGTTTGACTTGAATTGAAGGTCACGAGTAGTTTCACTGGCTAGTTTAACAATAACTTCAGAATACCTTTCACCAACCTGATAAATATTGCGAAGTAGTAGACGTTCGAGTGAATGACAGATTTACCGGGATATGAATCTAATGTCTGAGGAAGTGTGCAGCTGAATTTCAACTGGCTGGTCAGTTAACGATACATCATGAAGTTTCTGAATTTTTGTAATGTCCTTATGCTGAATAAATGGAAACTTCCTGTTCTATTGATTCGTTGGATGATTTCATCATGAGCCGAAATCTGGCAATGTATCGAGTAAAATCAAAGAATAAGGAACGATTATTCAGTTCAAGAATTTAATGTCACAGACTTTTGATTTGTTAACTACTTCTGAGAAAGATGTCGATCAATTTAAAGCCTTAATTCTCAACAGCTGCTACAAGGACCTTCGTTCACGACCGAGCCATTGTTATCTGCTGACTAAGGAACACACAAGCACAACTTCAAGCAAATAAAGTCATAATCCTCGCCCGTTGTGATAAGGTCAACGAGATTGTAGTAACGAGTGGAATCGAATTAATCGAGCAATTAACAGACATACTATCAAACAACACGAAATTCATCGATTCAATGAAAGACAAATGATTTCACTAGATGTCGCCTCACTATTCTCAAGCATTTACCTGACCGAAACAATACGCGTCATTTGTGACTACATCGAAACCAACAGTCTAGAAGTTCCTCTTCCCATAAACTATCTGAAGGATATACTTCTCAGATGTACGTTTAATATCCAATTCAAATTCAATGAACAATTCTATGTACAGAGAGATGGTGTAGCTCTGGGGTCTTCTTTCGGTCCTCTCCTTGCTCACTGCCTCATGACGAGTATCGAAAATAAATCACAAGTTAACATGAGTGGGACAGTTTGTCAATTTCCAGAGCTTTCTCCCACTGATCCGAAAGCAAAACCTGGTCTGTACATTAAGTTCGAGAATTATAAAAATCTGTTCGGAAGACATGATAGAGAAAGAATTGAATTTTTTAGGTGAAACCCTACTAGAGAACGGGCATTCACCAAGATTCATAAACAAAAACATGAAAGAGAAGCCTCCGTCGCCAAAAATCACAACTGTTACTAAGAAAACTCTCTTCCTGAACCCTGAATTCAGATGTGACATCGAAGCAGAAATTCTTAGAAAGCGCTTTTCTGGATGTCTGAAGAAGACATATCAAACAGCCATTTAACGTATCACATTCTGCAGAAGACAGTTAATCCAGTCTAACTTTAAGGATGAGATATCGCTTTGGGACAGCTCACTGTGTACTTATCAATTTACTTGCTCGTGTGTAGCAAAGTATATCGGCTTTACGCAAAGTCAAGTCCACAAACGTATTCTGAAACACTGTCCAGCTTGGTTAGCAAGCCAGAGGAGAAAAGAAGAATATTAGCATCTCCATCCTTGAAAACCTAGTCATCTCCTGACATCGAGCACACCGCATGAATACTTCACAGTGTCCCTCAATATCGTAGAGAGGGACTTCGCATACGCCGTCTGTACATAGCTGAATCATTAACTATTCGGGATCTGAAACTGAAACTGTGCATTCAAAAGCGGTACAAACGTTCACTCAAACTGCCATGTCCCGAGTAACGTTCTCACTATAATTTTGCTTCTAATTAATTATGTAAGTCTACTATTATTATTGCTATTATTATTATGATTTTATTAATATTATTACTCCCATCATTCATATTTTGTTATCATTCTATTACTGTTTATTAATAACATTGTGTTTTCATACAGATTTTATGCAAAAACACTTATCGTCTATCCACTAGTTCCTGTCCGTTCTACATAGCCTTATTAATTAGTCATTATGTCACGCTTATTAAGTCATGGTAACTTCTGCCTCTTTTCAACTTCCAATAAGTCACTCCGTCTGAGTTACACCTAACGTTGCTTGATACGTATTTTTGAGGACGAATTTTATCAGCATCTGATTGGTATTATGACTTCTTTGTTAAATATAATTATGACTGTACAGCTTATGACAATGAATCTTCGAGAAGAGAAATTTTTTCGCTGTTTACTTCGTTTTCTTATGACTCAATATGAGAATATTTCGTTCGTGAAATCAATCATGGTCAAATTAATCACCATCTTTAGATCGACTTAACATAAATTTAAATCTGTGTGCATTAGAGTTGAAGCAGATAGAGTCATCATTGAATGGGTTATTGTTCAATAACATGATGGAGAGATCACACGTTGTCATCAACGATGGATCACGTAACGGCTCCCAAGCTGCCTGTTGCATATATCCTTTTTGTCTCAAGTATGCACATGTGGCGATCAGTGACGGAGTTGATGCAGTTCTTCCAGAAAGGACGAAATGTTTTCATCAAATATCCTAATGATGTCACATAGCTTGGTGATCTATTTGTGACCATCATCACCTTAATGTCGACAATCATCAGGTGAGACAGTCTTTCTTCTTATCATAAAATTACTTGAAGTAATTCCAAAGTGTTTAGAAAATGTAACCATGAATTTCCGCACTGTTTTGCCATGCATGCTGCAGCTTCTTCAGGAAATTCGTGACATCTGGGGTTTGCATACTTAAAGTCTCTCTTCTTATGTTTGAAATTAGCACTAGTCAGGAACAGGTGTTAATCTGAACATATTTGTTCACTACAAACTTTGCTGTCCTCATGGGAGTTTGAATGGAAGTACACAGATATCCTGATAAGAAAGTAGCACCCACACGTCGGAACGAAATTTTTTCGCTAGGTATAAAGAGAAGAATTCCACTAAAATAGATCATCAGGAGAAAATCAAGGCAATCCTCCTCATGTGTTTGCATACAATCGCAATGTTGGATGAGGCGGAGAAATAGTGTTAAGTAACAATATGAGGTGATATAAACAAGTGAATCTTTGTCCATGTAACTAACAGCCAACGCATGTAATAGAAATCAGACAATGCCAATCCCGAATATGTGAAAAATTGTTTGGCGAACAGAATGTTATTCTTATTGATTTACTTGTTCCACATTAATTTTCAGAAGGAGTGAATACTCCTCCTGGATGTTTCAAGAACATAGCTGCGAACAACTTCATCCTGTGACGCAATCAAACCGTCTTCCTCTATCCATCGTCTTATGAATGCCTTCAAATGCTAGTGAACAACAAATCCTTCTTGAAGTATCATCTATTTAATAATGTAAAATTATTGTCTACTGTACTGTGCATGATATGGAATTGTAACCTGAAATCAGTTAAGAAAAAACACTTCGGAGGAGATTCTCGTAGTCTGACTAATCATTTGTTGGAGCACTGGTCACAAATCTATCAGAAGCACTAACATCAGTTACATGTATTTCTGATTCACACGTCCCGCTACTGTTGTATGTCCATGCAATCAATCACTAACTGACTGGATGAAGGACTGAGAGTGAATCTGATTTCGGTGGTTATCTTGAATAAAAGTAAACAGATATAGGGGAAACGTAATAGTAGAGGTAGTATCAAGACAGGTGTCAATTTCCATTGGTCTCTTCAGACAACTGAAGCAGTATGATGTGAGAGTCTCATAAATTAATTATGACCATATGTGCGCATACTTCATGAGAGGAAGTTGGATATCACCAGTGGTAGTGAACCACACACTCATAATTCAAAATTATGTGTGGATCATTCAAATTTATCGAAAAGCAAGGGAATCATGATTTAGTTCATTTTGCTAAATCAAATGTTGCGAAGCAAACTGAATCCAGTCTCCGCGTGCAAAACCCAAACAGGGTGAATCCCTTCATATCTTCAAGAAGATTATTCTGCTTACTGCGCAACAATCTTTCCTACTGTACCACGAGTATTTGTCATCATTTTCTGATTCCCTGTGCAGAACTAAGTGATATGATGCAAAATTACTCTAAGGTCATCTTTGAAGACCATTCAACAAAACTATTTTAGAACATCCTTCAATGTAATCTGTTTTCCAAGTTGGTCAAATGTAATGCATTTGTGATCATTGCGTACGTTGAAGTTTTCACAAATTGAGATTTCTGCACTCAGTGTCGTGGAATAAGCTGTATGACCCCATTTAAATAATTGGGCATACATTCCACACTGTCTGTTGTTACGCAGGAGACTCAGAGTAGTATTCACATATTTTCGTACAAAGACATATCCTCCTGAAATTGAGATAGACGATTGTGATAAAACGCCATCCTGAAAAACATGATCATTTATAACATAATTAACACAGATCAATTAAACAATTTGTTGTTGATCACACACTTCAACTATTAAGGAGTAAAGACAACAAATGAAATTCAATACCAAAAATCACCACAATGTGTGAAGAACAAACAATCATGTTTACAAGTTTTGTTTACCCACAGTCTCAAAATAATACTCAATTGTTGATCATCTCATGTCAGATTTATTTACACACGTAAATCATATAAATCTGAATTCATTCATATATGCATGTTCACAATTCCATACACAGTCAATATCAACTAGCTGAGTAATATCTCCCCAGAATATACACTGGAATGCAAATGAACTCGTCATCATCATGAAATATAGATATGTGCTGATACCGAATGCAGCGAAATTATCTTGAAGACTGATTCACAGGTCAATACTGCGTCGCAAGAAATCGCAGACAGTGAGAGTACTCTGTGTGCCCCTCATCATACTCACCGTCGTCTCATTGACAACAATAGGCTATTTCAGAAAATATCGAGCTCATTTGCAATCCTTGTTGAGGGAGTATAATGATGAGGATCAGCCGATTTGTGAATATGTGTTTCGTGGGAATCTGAGTTGGATGGACTACAGGGTGTTGAACAGGATTCGACTGACAGAGAGTGGTGGTTATGGGAATCTGACGAATCGCCACACATGTGAGGAGTTCAAGTTGATCCATCGTCAGACTGTGGAGTGTTCTGAGGAGGAGAAGGAATTTTCACTGGCATTCAGTTTGGCTGTTCATGAGGACATTCGATCGGTATCTCGTCTTCTTCGCTTGATATACAGACCACACAATCTGTACTGCATTCACGTCGACTCGAAATCACCACAGGTATTCTACGATGAGGTGATGGCGTTGGCCAACTGTTTTGGTGGCAATGTGATTGTGGTGAACCGATCGGAGAGTGTTGTCGTTAGATGGGGTTACTATTCTATTCTCGAAGTGTTCCTTCTGTGTGCGGACAAGTTGATGCGAAATGATCAAGTGAAGTGGAAATACATTCTGAATGTGAGTGGACAGGAACTGCCGTTGAGAACGAATTGGGAGTTGGTTGCTGCATTGAAGGCGATAAACGGTTGGAATGTCGTTGAGAACTTGGGGTACAAGGATTATCGTGCTAGATGGCCTGATCGGAATTTCAGCTTTCCTGTAAGTCACTTTTACTTCTTCTGTTGTAATCGATGTTTTCATTTCCAAGGGATTATCACAACTGAATGAACATTTAATATCCTTCTCCTATAGCACTCACACTTTTGTTCTCTCCACACACACACACCTCATTCTGGCCTACATGAATATCAACTTTTGAATCTATTCACTAGCCATATGTTTTTTATTCACCCCTCTTCGTACTTCAAACGACGTGGGCAGTTATCAAGATGTTTTTGCTTTACGGCTCTAACTGTCTCACCGCTGAAATCGTTTTTTTAAAGACAAGTCAATTTAATATTTTCAACAAGAAATATTTAGAATCCAAGTCAACTATTGAGCAAAGTTTGCTCTCAGTATCATCTGGCAGAACTGATACTTTGCCTTGAACAATCAATATTCTATGTTATTATCAAAGAACTTGACAGATGTAGATGTTCACAGTGACAATGAAAATGCATTCAAAATGATCAGATCTATAGAATTTGAAGTGTCACAGTTAAATCTTCACTGGATTATGTCGTCTTGATCGCATCTGGTGGACATAATACATTAATAACATTGGACTCCACATCAATCCAACTCACTCCTCATTAAAGTTAATCGAAAAATATGCAGTTGTCATCAAATGATTCTTGATTTCCGGTGAAATGTATTCGCGAGGAGTGAAGGTGTTTCCAGCTATCGACTCAGTGACTGTTGACTTCTGCTGAAGATTTGCGTATCGCCAACTGATTAAACAAGTAACTGATAGAAGTTTCACGCAATCAGCAGATTAGACGAGTCACTTGCAGAAACTATTCCCATTGGAGGATGCTTTGTTTTAGAGGTGGATTTTATGAAAACAATGGACATCATAATCTCATTGTCAAGGTGATATGACTGTGAGCGAAAATCCTGCTCGGAACGTCATCAGCAATAAATGCTGTGAAGCACTGTGAAAACGTTGCTCAGATAAATCTACTGTGTGATGGAATTATACTTTACCACAGTGCCCATTTTCTATTCTTCTATCAATAGACTTCATATATATATATATATACAAATATATCCTGAAACATTTGGCAGATTCTACCCTTGCATCATAGTTTGCTGCATTAATAACAAGTCTGTAGTACACCTCATCATGTAAGTCTGTTGAAATAATGGAGATTCATAGTTCACGTAGATGGTTACAAGGTCACTGTGATTAATTGAGAAGCTCACATTGTCGTTCTGAATGGAATTTCGCGTTGCATAGTCGAAAAATGTGACAGATAGAAGCCTAGATTGTCTGCTCACAACGTCATCTCATTGCCATTCGAAGAAGTTCAATTTCACCAGTTTAAAACATACGACAACTGTCATTCAGAGCCATTGATGAGTAACTGTCCTCCTACCGACTGCGAGGTCTTGTGAGTAGTGGATATTAATTTTTCTGAGTCAGCATAAGAATTTGTAAGCACTGATGTACTTTGCACTTCAGTTTGAGGATAGCTGATCTCCAACAACGCTGAATTTTGATGAAACTGAATAGCTTTGCAAAGGGAAACACTATGGAACTGTAAGTTAAACATTCTAAAGTCTGAACGCAATGACCACACTTCATAACGAGGCAATGAATATGTGGTATTGACGAATTTGAAACTGGAGAGAAACAGTTCTTTATTGCCCTAAATCCTAAAGTGCATATAGACTGAATTTTTACGCAGAAACTTATAATTGGTGGCTGGAAACCACTCAAGTTTTGAGAATACGAATATATATATACATATGTGTATGTATAAATATGATTTTAAATACATAAAATTATCTGGGCTGAATAAATACAGTAATCTCCATTCACATCATGGTTATTTTAGATACATTGGAGCAAAGGCAGCTTCTACATGGCACTCAGTCGACGTTTTGTCAATTTCTACCAAACAGATTCCACAGCTCCTGAAATACTCAGTGCAATGAAGACTGAAAGACATTTGAGAAAACATCCAGATGAACTTTATTTCCCAACGTTGATGTACAAACCTTTATTTGGCGCTCCTGGAGCCTGTAAAGAATTCTATCTCTCCAGTCAATCAGATCCACGGGCCCAATATATAGGAAAATATGTGAGAAGGGGTTATAAACATTGTATCTCGGGTAAGAGCTTTAATGGTATGTGTCTAATTGGCTTATACCTTTCTCAATTTATACCAACTCGAATGGAATTCTTCGCCAATAAATTTCGAGAAGAATTTCAACCGATCGCCTACGACTGTACAGAGCATTATGTGATGCAGAAGATTTTGAGAGAGATGAGAACGAAACAACTGGATCCAAATTTCAATGTGACGTTTTATTCACAACTTTATTGTTCACAGTACCATTTCAATTGAAGAGAATTCTGTTAACGTATTGTTATGTATGTACGCATTGTTTGTCCCTGATTAATATAAAATATATTGAGTTTTATCAACCTTTTTCTGTAAATAAAGTGTATGCTCACTTCCATGTTGTCTTCACTATTGATGCATAATATAAGGCTTGAGGATTTTACTTCACTGGAATTCATATTCTTACCGTGAAAACAATTACAGATTCACAGTTCGATCGCACTTGCCACTTGAGATAAGTGTACATGCATTCTAACAGCTACTACATACAGTTTTTATTCAACAGCCTGCACACTTGATATAATTAGTTGTATTCAATATTCTCAGTGATTTGGAGCATACTCAGCTTGTTGGGCTAGATATGTATGTCACGCATTCTGCTGTCGATTTTTAGTATTCTAGCGAAAGTCGTAGATCAACCTTCTATTGAGATATAAGTTTCACACGTGATAATATGCTACTATAACAACCTCTGTGACAGTGAAACCGGGAATCACGGACAACTGAGTAGATGTTCGCCCTATCCCATCTAAGTATTAGTCTTTGTGATATAATTAGCAGCTCGTAATATAATTTACATTGATACGGTGATTATGAATAGCTTTCTTAGATGGATGACCGTGTAGCTATCAACACTTTATCAATCTTTCCTGTTAGGATACAAATGTCAACATAATTATCAATCAGAACAACACGCATTTAGTGTCAGTGCATTGAGTTTTGACTTATGCTTCTGTCGCATGTCCTCATTATGTAATTTCAAAGCAGTCTCGATGTATCACATAGTAATTCGACGGTATAGTGGTTGCTTTTGATCAGCACTACTAAATATCAGGTGTTGTATCAACGAGGTAGGAATTTCATCAGTCATAAATGTACCTACTGAACTAAGGAAACTTAGAAGAATCGAAATACGCATGTCACAGTAATACGATATTTGATAAAATTCTTAAGCAGTTACCTAATCCTGTAATTGTTTATTCCAAGAGAAAGACGGAAATCTCCGGCCTCCTAGAAGTCCTGTCATTATATACTGTGAGAACAGAAACTGAAGCATTTTGGTCTGATTAACATAAGGGACCAATCGATGCGATCTTCTGTAGGGGTGATCGAACCTCCTCGAGTGACTCACAGTCTCTAAATATTCCGAAAATAAGAAAAGGACAGTGATGTGGTTACAGGTGGAATACAGAGTTTCAGCGGTTTATTTTCGTTTCACGATGTTCTCTACAGACGTATTCAGCTAGCCCTACGGTCGTCCGTAGGTTCAAACATTCTCCCAAACTCGTTGCTCCTCATTCGGGTTCCATTCTACGGTTAAGAGTGTAATGTCATCTAACGGTGTCTTCAAAAAGAATTCAAACCGTCCCTATTTTCTAGGTTATATTCGCTTGGTCGCTATATTTCCTGGGTTGATTTGCAGCCATTGATAAGAGCCTGCGGCCTGTTTGAAGTCATTTTCCACTGGAAGTGATCGGTTGAAGAGTCCTTTCAAGTGATCATTCCTCATTGTTTCTTCTGCTTTTCCTCCTTCGCAGGTAGGCTTCCTTGACTAAGTTTCACCTGATTCAACTGTATTGATATCTTCCCGGATAGCCAGGTGGTAATTTAAAATGGATTCCTTTTGTCCTTCTTACCTGTGGACTGTTCTGCTTCAGTTTCAAGTGTGTTGAGAATTTGTCTTTCATCTTTCGTAACACTCTACACTCCATTGTTCAATGGTCAGTATGATGTGCTCAGCTTCCCCTTACGTTGCAATTCTTTGCACTTGCTCATTTTAGCTTCACCATGTTTCTCTCTCCTATCAGCTTCCAGAGGCCAGTACAGAGATATTCTTCGTCTTCTGGCTCCCGCTGCATAAAATAATATCTGCCTTATACACGTCTGTATAAGTGCCTCCTGCTTCGATCTGATTGCGTTAGCGAATCTGTCTTTGAGGCTTTCTCATTCAATTTGTTGGTGTCGAACTTTAATTGCTATCCTTCAACAGGTGCTTTGAAGGCATTCAACTTAACCCTGCACTAGATGATGGTCTGAGCCAGCAAATGCTACTCTATTCCATTTTGTGTCCACCAGTCTAAGTGTCAACGTTCTTGAAAATGAGATGAATTTCATCTGATTTAGGGCATGTGCATGTGGCCTTGTGTATATGCTTAGGTTTGTGTATATTGCCTCGAAACACAGAATCATTGAAGGCACAGAAGTCCGTTCCACCTTTTAAAATTTCGATGTTGCTATCTGCCTGACATCGGTTCACAGTTGTTTGCAGGAGTCTTTTTCCTCCTGAGAATGAGCTGCTTGTAACACTGTAGGCAGCAATGGACAATTTTGACCTTCCTATCGTGTGACTTGATGTCATTATCCTGAAGGAGACTGATTTCCATGATGATAATGTCTCCTCGAATGTGTATTCGAAGTTGTTTTCCATGTGAATGGAGTGGATTACCGACTCTCCAGTTGATAATTTTGAAATTCCACCTCAAATTCCTTCTTTTCTCTGGCAGCTTTCATGCACTTCTGTAGCGTATCATCTCATTCCCACTGACATTTTCCTCCACGTTCCCATGATTATTCTCACCTTCTTTGAAAGAAGACACTTTGACTGATTGGTGTCCCGAATGCGTTCACCAGCCCGCTTCATCTCATCACTCTGATTCCAGCGAAGAACAAATTCATTTTCCATATTTCGTCTGAGCTTTGAATTTACTGTCGCGATTAGATTGCAGTTACCGGGTGACATGGTTAGTCTCATGACCGAACTTCCCCCACTTCTTCCTTAGAAGTTGCTAGAAAACTAGTGGACTAGCAAACTTGGTGCAATACACCAGCTGTTATTATAATTTTGTTCAGCCTGTTGGAAGGAGAGTGAAACAGTGTCAGTGGAAGACCACACTTAAGATTTATGGTTGCAGTGTAATAATACTTAGTAGAGAAGTGAGAAATTGGTGGTTGGAAGGCTAATGTATTCAAAATGAGCAGCGAAAGTGATTGAAGAAGTTAATATTGATCCAGAAATAAAATGGTGGAGTCATGGAATAAAATAATTTCAAACAGCTTGTTTGCCTATAGTGACTTTGTGATACACAAAAAAATAATGCTGTAACAGTGACAAATAACCTCGCCTAGTTAGCTAGCTCGCTAGTTTTCTAGCTGGTCCCAAGCCCAGGTGAAGAAGGAGTGTTGGGCATTGGATTGGCCAACCCACACCACTAAATCTTTCAAATCGCCACAGAAACTTCAACACACAGAAGATGTATTAAAAGTACGAAAACTTCAGATAACAACAATTTTATTCTTCTCTCAATTTGGAGAAGCGAAATGACACAGCAGGCTGGTGAAAGTCAGTCTTCAGGAAGCCAGTCAATCAGCCAATTTGTCTTCTATCGATGAGTCCGAGAGTGAGAATGGGGACGTAGAATGTCCGTACAATGTACGAGGCTGACTGAGAAGGCTGTCCAGGTAGCCAAAGAGATCCGGAGATATGGATTAGAAGTGCTGCGTATCTGCGAAAGCAGATGGGATGTATGTAGTTTGACCACATTGTCAACTGGAGAGTCAGTAATCTACTCCGGTCAGGTCACCAGATGGAAACCGCGAACACACTGATTGGGTGGCTGTTATGACTTCAACAGTGGCAGTCTAACCTCTAATCAAGTGGGAACCAGTTTCATCCCGCAGAATCACGACAACAAGATTCAACTCCAAAGGAAGCAAGGAAGGTGACAATTACCCAATGCTACGCACTATGCTACAAACAACGTGAGCACGACAAGAAGGAGGAAGATTTCTACAGGTAACTACAGACAGTAATGGAAACATCCCAAATAGTGACATCAAAATCCTTATGGGTGACATGAATGCCAAGGTACGTGGGAGCAGATAATGCGGAAAGAGGACTCATCACGTGTCGATAGGATCACAATCGGAGAAATGAATGAAAACGCAGGATTATTCGCAGACATCTGCTCTTCCAGACATTTGGTAATTGGAGCGGGCGTGTACAAACACAAGGATATACACAAAGCAACATGGATTTCGCCTGACAGACATACCAAATATCGGATAAACTTCATCTCAATGCTACTCGAGGAAGTGGAGACGCAGTCAATCTGCTGGGCACAAAGTCAAGAAGGGAAGCAGATGTGGGCTCAGACCATCATCTACTTCAAAGAATTTACAAGGTGAAGCTGGAATACATGAAATCAACTGGAGTCAGAACAGTGTAACTCAAGCTCAACATTTGAAATTGAAGGAGTTTGAAAATATCCCACACTCAGCAAGCTTGAACAACAATATTCGGATTTTCAACTCCGATGTTAAGTTGACCAGTGCTTCTATACGTGTGAGAAACTTGGCGCGTGTGTCACGAAAAGGATTGTCAACAGGGAATTGCAGACTTTCATCAATAGCTGACGACTTCACTGGCTGCATACTGAAGGTGAAATGGCTGGCCAGCCAGAAAGAATAAACAACAAGAAACTCTGGCTGGGAACAAACCAACAGGCGAGAGCCGATCGCTCAACAGGAATGCACGAGAATGTGGAGATTGACGGATCGGGCATACATTGATGGGGCCCCCGAATGACATCGAACGCGATGTTGGCCATAGCTCAAATGGAATTCAAATAGGAGGCGACGAGTGAGTCGTCGATGAGAGGGTGTTATGAATGAGATCGTGTGGGGAGGCGATGAGAGGGTGTTATCAGTCGTGGACGGCAGACAAGAGAACAAAGTGGAGATGTATAGTTGAAGCCCTATATTCCGCTCAGAACGGGAAGAAATAATAATGTATATATATATATATATATAACAGAGAAGATTTGTAGCTCAGTTGGATGATTTGCAACTAAAAGTTTTCTCTGAGCTGGCTGGTTTAGTTTATATATATACACACATATACTTATATATATGTATATATAGAATATAAGAGTGACAAATAAACGAATAAGGGTATCACTAACCAGGAAGTATTTTGCAGAAAAACTGGTCAAACGTCCACAAAA